AACTTGCTACTTTCGTTTCATAAAAAACAAAAAGGTACTGTTTGAATTCGGAAGGCCTATTAGCACACAGCTTATAGTGCAGGGGCGTAATATATAGACAAAGAACAGGAATGGGCATGTATGGAGGCACGGTCCCACTCCTGAAATTCAGATTATTATCTCCACAAACACATTTGAGAACTGAAAGTTATGTAGTGTTGGAGGGAAACAATCCACAGAGGCCAAAGGTTGTTTGTTTTCCAGTCTATTTATATCCCAAATTAACATGCGAGTCTATGGGGATGGGTTAGATTTATGAAGCCGGCCTCAAATGGTCATCAGAGGAAATGCAGATTTGGAAACTTGAGCACTGGCGTCATTTTCAGCCCTGCTCACAGCCACTGATGTCTGCAGTAGTGTGGTGCCAGATTTGTTGCTGCTTTAGATAGAAAAACATATGACCGGTTCTACGTTAGGCATCCATTTTTAATATTTTCTCTCTTCTATTACATGTTATGTTTGTTTTGGGGATATCATTAAAGTAAAAGCATGCTGCAGTTACCTCAGTGTGGACACAGAGTTAAAACAACCAGCAGCTTTCAATGGAATTCATTTGATTTTTACATTTGATCAAATTTGTATGTGGTTCGCAGTTTTAACTGAAGTTAGAAGTGGGAACTATTTAATGATTTATTCACTGACTTGGCTTCTGTAGCTCTCAAAAGCCAAGTCAGTAGATGTGTACGAATTAACAGTTTTTATATTGTTTTGATTTCATTTAGCCCTTAGAGGTCCTGTTAGGAACAAGGTTTTAGGACAGGCAGGAAATATTTCTCCCCCCGCCCCGATGGGTTTGTGATTTGTAGGTGAGCAGTCCTTACTTGGGTCCAAAGCACATGCAGAGGCTGGCCAGGTATCCGTTGGAAAAGGAGAAAAAAATCATGAAGATGATGTACCAGGCATCATGGCTGAACCACACGGTTTGGGAAATCACACGAGGCTGGACATTACAGAGCATGAAGAGGGGGATGAAGACGACCCGCAGGCCCACGAGGACAGGAAGCCAGATGCTGTCCTTGCCCGGCTGGAGA